TTACAATGTCCTGTCCATTTTAATTTGGCATATTTGGAGATAATAATCTATTTTCTATCTTATCTTGATGAATTTAAAGTTTTATACCTAAAACAGTTTTATCATAGCTGTATTACCATCTTAAAACTATTTTTAGACCTCTAAACTTGTTTTAGACAATTAAGCTTTTATGCCTCTCAACCTTAGAAACTTTACATCTCTTATGTAAGTTTCTTTTCTGAATTTGGTAGCAAGGAAAACTGTAAAACTATAATTATCTAGTCTCCAATCTCCATCAGAGACCCAAGAAAGATAAAATATTGCTTGAGTAAACAGGAAGTACAGAGCAAAAAAAGTTCCAAAACTATAGACATGACAGAAACAGCTGACTGTCTGGACTATCAAGGCTCCTCTGTGACACTGGGGCATCCATCTTTGGATCCATCCATCCATCTTCGATGCCCATCATCCTTTTTTGAAGTAGATTGGTGCTGCCAGGAGCAGATGTTTCTCACTGTCATGAAAAGCCTTGTGTTATTAAAACATCTTAAATGTCATATTCTTTAAGTCTTTGAAGTGTTTGAAGATCACCCATCTATCTAAAATATATCTTCGCATGACCTTGAAAACATACCTAACATGACTATAAGTTTGATTGTTATAGATGACTTTTAGCCTGTATTTCTTTATTATCCTAAATAACTTTCAAGGATTAAAACCTTACATTTTTTCTTTTTCTTTTTTCTTTCTTTCTTTTTTTTTTTTTTTTTTTTTTGAGACAGGGTTTCTCTATGTAGCCTTGGCTGTCCTGGAACTCACTCTGTAAACCAGACTGGTCTCAAACTCACAGAGATGCACTTGCCTCTGTCTCCCGAGTGGTGGGATTAAAGGTGTGTGCCACTCCCCACCCCCCACCTAGGTACAGTATCTTAAAACATATATACAGTATAACAAAAACAACCATACATTTGTATCAGTATACAGAAATCCATAGCAGTGTAAAATATTTGAGACTAGTAGTTGCTTGTTTAGTTTGAAAGTAAATACAATAATCTACCCTTTATCCTATCATTTCCATGTCTCCTCCTTTTCTTTTCAGAATGAGATCCCTGACTCTAATCTCCTTTGCTTAGCATCCTCCCTGACCATGACCAATAACAACTTGTGACCAACCCCTCTACGCAGTGACAAACATCAACTGAATGACCAAAACCCACTCACTCTGCCTCTTGGGAATGTGGGCATCGTGTTCTTAAAATTATTTCCTGTTGTTTGGGGATGACAGCATCTTTAAGGGACCCTGAAAAAAAAATAAGACAATGGTCAAGTGATGGGGGATGTCCTTCTGTGTATATGATTGTCTTATTGGTTGATAAATAAAGTACTGTTGGCCAATAGGAAAACAAGGTAAGTAGGACTAGGAGTCAAGGAGGATTCTGGGAAAGGTAGGAGAAAGTACAGAGTCACCATGTGAGCCCGGGAAGACAGGACGCTTCCACTGGCCTCCCATAAGTCTTATAAAATATATAGATTTGTGGTAATTAAGACTGAGCTAGCAGATGAGGAATCCTAGTCATTGGCCAAGCAGCATTTGTACCTAATATAAGTCTCTATGTGTTAAAATGTATATTTACATATTACATAACATATATTGTATATATATTGCCCACCATTCCACTGGCAAGAATCATTGTTGTGTGTGTCTTCACACCACAGACTGTTCTGTGATAACTGTTTGTGCTTACTAATGCAAAAGGCTCTATCCAGGCCAAAGAGTCATTTTCAGTTCACTTTGATGACTGTCCAGTGTGTTCTGGAGGATGTTTCTATCACCACTTGCTCAGTCTTCCAGGTTGTTTCTGGTGCCATGAATAATGCTGTTGGGAATATCCTTCATCCATTAGGAATATTTCTCCATCACCTGCTCAGTCACAGGGTACCAAGTATTCAGTCCTTCACAAATCACACGTCTTCCAAGACACATCTCCGGGCATAGCTTCTATCAATTCTTGTCGCTGATGACTAGATGGGCATAGCTGGACCAAAGGACACGCCTCTGCTCTCCCCAAGGACAGTGCTGCTCCAGATTAGCCTGGCAAAGATCACTCCTGGGCACAGAACAGGCTCCAGAGGAAGAAGGGGGAGCCAGGCTAGTTCCTGGTTGTGGCTCTGGTCTTAGGACCCCTTCTTTGGGTCAGAGTTTCACTAGGTGGCCATGTTTAAACAGCCCTCAGGTTGGACTGCTGGGGTTGAATGAGGAAAATTCTGTTTGAAATTGGGCGCCCCTAGATAATCCAGAGACTCTGAGATACCCCTGGCCTAGCATGTGGGGAGGAGAAGAAAGGCACAGGCTTCATTGAGATCCCCAGGGGCTGCAGGGCCCGGCCCAGCCCCCATCCGGCCTCCGCCCCTGCCCTTCCTACGCTCCGGGCGGGCGACCTGGTAGCTCCAGAGCCCAAACCTGTCAGGCCGGTTTGTAGAGCCACCACGGGGACCGAGGGAAGAAGGCTGCAGAAGGATGCACGGCCTGCCCGGTGCTGGCCCGCACTGTCCACCGCCCGAGCCTGTGTTGCCCACCCGCCCGAACTCATGACGCGCTCGCCCGGCCTTGTGGTACCCCTGCTGGGGCTGGGGCTGGGGCTGGCCCTGAGCCTGCCCGGAACTGTGGCAATCGACTGTGGGCTCTTCACTCAAGTGGATCACCTGACATTCCCTCCAGTAGCCAGGACGCGATTGCTGGCCCCTCGTGTCCGCGCGCCGGGACCCCTGGACTCTCTCTATGGCACTGTGAGACGCTTCCTCTCCGTAGTTCAGCTCAACCCCTTCCCGTCGGGTGAGTGTCCCCTCCCCCAGCGGACCTCCGCAGGCACTGGACCCCTAGCTAGCCTTTGTGCACATCCTGTCGACATGCACTTGATAGGGTGAGGTTTCTGGCGCAGCACAGCCTTCTTCTTCCATACATTCTGGGATTCCACGAGCAGCTCCGGAGCCTTCTTGTTTGACCTTGGGCTGGCGCTATGTGCAAGAACATTATATTAAATCAGACTCGTTGTACCAGTGCCATGATGCCAGGGGTCAGGAGGGACAGAAAAGGCCGGAGGAGGGGAAGGCCTGCCAGAAGGGTCCAGAAAGTTTGCTTGCAGGCCTTCTACCAGCTGCCTCTCCAGATGAGGCCTGGCAAGGTGTCACAGCCACATGACACTGCCTTCTGTAAGAACCTCCTTAGCCTGGCAATAGGAAGAGGCTAGTAACACAGGGCAAGGCAGTGGCTGTCCCCAAACCCTCTGCTTGCTTCCTTTCCCTAGAGCTGATAAAGGCCCTGCTGAATGACCCATCCTCTGTGAAGACAGATGAGGTGAGGGCTGAGCCACAGGTGCTGGGGGAGGGAGTTAAGGGCGAGCAGAAGGGCCCCACCTGCTCAGTTCAGCCCATCTTGCTGAGTGTTTGCCAGAGTCAAGTCTTACGCATCCTTTTCCTTCCTGGGTTCAAGACCCGTATCTTCTTTTGACTCCTGGTGGGGTTTGCAGTGATCCCCAGTGCCCCTAGCCCTGGTGCCTCTTCTGTACCAGGTAATTAGCAAGGACACCACTCTCCTCACACCTCCTGCCTGGGTTCACCAGGGTACAAGTAGAGGTACACAGACATTCTCTCCAGCTCTGACTTCCACCAGGGTAGGGGAAAGGCAAGGCTGCCCCCTCATGCCTTGCTGCCGTGCCCAGGTGGTTCGTTATGAGGCAGGCTACGTGGTGTGTGCTGTGATCGCTGGCCTCTACCTCCTTTTGGTGCCCACTACTGGGCTCTGCTTCTGCTGCTGCCGATGCCGCCGACGCTGTGGGGGCAGAGTGAAGACGGAGCACAAGGCCATGGCCTGTGAACGTGGCACCCTCATGTCCTTCCTGCTGCTGACCACTCTCGTGCTTCTGTGAGAGGCTGCATAGGTCGGGGGGGGGGGGGCGGGGGGGGGGGGGACTGGATGGTGGCCCTATGCTCTTGGGCACACCGCAAACCCTTTCCTCCTCGCCTCTGTCTCTGCAGGATTGGTATGGTCTGTGCTTTTGCCACTAACCAGTACACACATAGTCAGACAGGCCCCAGTGTGGAAGCTGTCCCTGAGACCCTGCTCAGCCTAAGAGGCCTGGTGTCTGATGTCCCTGGAGTGAGTACTATACAATTCCCTCTTCTGTGTGTGAGTGCCCTGCTTCAAGGCAGAGGCGTGAGTCCCATAAACCTGCAAAGCAGAGAGAGTGTCCCTTCCTGTGTGCACTTGACTGCCACCTGATGGAAAGCCCCTGAAATGCCTAACTGAAGGATGGGGCTGTGGAAGGACAAGGACGATGGCTTACACCCTGTGTTTGGCTAGGAGCTTCAGGCCTTGGCTGACCAGTTCTCCGTGCCTCAGGAGCGAGTCTTGAAGGAGCTGGATGGTGAGGATTACAGTTGGCCAGCTCCAGGTCCCTCTGCCCTGGTCTGCCTTAGCCTGGACTTCAGCAGGGTACCATTTCACAAAGAGGGATCTACCTGTGCCGCATCCATACTGATGCAGGACAAAGAGGCCAACACCACCTTGCAGAGCCCAGGGCTCACGGGAGGCGATGGGGATGTCTTCAGCTCCTGGGGGGGGGGCATCCCTATTAAATGTCTTGTGTTGTCTAGGTGTCAGTGAGAACCTTGGGAGCATAATTCATGACCAGCTCAAGAGCACAATGTACCCGATGCTAGCCTCAGTGCACAGCCTGGGTCAGGGTGAGTTGGACCAGTGCCCTGTATGTGGGTGGGTCCAGCAGGTGTCCTATAGGAGCCAATTCTCCCATCCCCCACCCTTGGATTTCATGTACTGCCCTGGCTCCACCCAAGTCTTTCTTCCCATTATGCTGGGATCCTGTATGTGACACCCCTGCCTATTTCCTGGCCTCATGTGCCCAGCGGCAGTTTCCATTATGGCTATAGAAAGTTTATACCCCTCTAGCCAAGAGAAGGGAATATGGTATCTCTTTTTGCCAAGGTGCTGAGGACACCAGGAAATGAGAAAGGAGACCCTCAGGCCACGTGCGACTCTCTTAGCCCTGCAGGTTTCCATAGACCACCTTCGAGCCCTGAACACCACCTCAGTGGAGCTGCAGGAGGGTCAGCGGGACCTAGAAGCACCTGTGCAGGCACACCGGGAACGCCTGCTCACCCTGCTTAAGGAGAGCTGGTGCCAAGGGAACTGCCAGGGGGCCCTAAGCCAAGCCAGTGCCCTGCAGCTGGGTGCTGACTTCAGCCAGGTACAGACACTGAACAAGCCCATTGGGACTTTGAAGGGCTGGTCTAGCCTGCACCTTTGGAATCCTCTGGCATCTTAGTGGTCAGGTGGCTTTCATGGGGTCAACTTTTCAGAGAACACCTTCCTTGGGCTATGCCTTCCTTTCCAGAACACACAGGGTTAATGACCCCTCATTCTTAGAGTGAGCCAAAGCTCTCCAAGAGCCATACACATAGCCCTGAGCTTAATGGGTATTGATTTCTTAGGATCTCAATGCCTCCCAGGGTGATGGGGGCTCTGTGGTTCCCATTTTACATATGAGGATACTAAGGGTTCAGAGACAACTCCTTCCTCCCATAGGGATCCTCCTCATGTCATAAACACTCTCCATTTCAGGTGCCCCCTGTGGACGATGTCCTGCATCGGCTGAAGGGTGTCCCAGAGGCCAACTTTTCCAGCATAGTTGAGAAGGTAAGCCCTGCCTTGGTTCTCTGGTGTTTTGATCCACCTGCCTGGGAACTAACAAGGGAAGGGCTTCAGTTTCACTCTCTGGAACAAGAACCTGGTTAAGCCAGGTGATAGTGGTGCACGCCTTTAATCCCAGCACTCAGGAGGTAGAAGCAGTGGATCTGAGTTCGAGACCAGCCTGGTCTACAGAGTGAGTTCCAGGACAGCCAGAGCTGCACAGAGAAACCATGTCTTGAAAAACCAAGGAGGGGGGGGGAAGAACCCAGTTAAATCCAGGACTTGAGTCCACCCTCACCCTGTGGCAGCCTGGGCTAGAGGCTCATGGTGCCAGTCCTACTGCAGTCAGATGGGAGAGGCAGGTCTGCAGCTCAGAAAGAGGAGTTGGGCTCCCATAAGGGATGGGGTCGTCAGGCCTCAAGGGAGCAGGTGCTTTGGCTGCTCCCTAAAAGGCAGGCCTTTTCTGGGTGGAGACAGCCAAGGCAGGGGTGGTACCATGTGAGTCAGAGTCTGTGACCCGGGGCCTGGAGTTGGGGAATCAGTGACTCAGCTCTGCTGGGAGGCTGGGAAGAAGGAAACCAGAACCAAAGTAAATCGAAGGTCGGAGCTGGACTGATGGAGCAGAGCTGGTTGTTAGGATGGGATGGGTGGGGACAGGTGAGAGAGGATGACTGCCATGGATGTCTAGGAAGTGACTGAGTAGAAGGCGGTGTAGGAGTTCTTAGGGTGCCATGTGTAGAAGAGTTGAGTTAGGCAGGAGAAGCCATGTTTGCAAGGAGAGGATTACTTCCTTTGCTGCTCGGAGCATTGAAGAGCTACATCCTCCCTCTGGGCCTCTGACTTTGAGTCCCCAAGATGGAATTCCAGGCAGAGAGCAATAGACACAGCCTTGCTTGGATCTGCAGGAGAATGCCACCTTCAATAGTCTCCCACTCTTGGTTGCAGTGCAGACAGCCAATGTGATCACAGGTGAGGGGCCCGACTGGCTTCCTGGCATGCCACCCCCACCATACCCTTTCCAGGGAGGCTTGCTGAGAGAGGATCTGGGCAGTGGTGGGGATGGCTGTCTTCCTGTCTGGTGGGCTCTCTATGGGTCCCAGAGGTTTGGCCCTGGCTCCTGGGTGCCCTTTGTATCCTCTGAGACCCTGTAGCTTTGGGCAGATATGAAAAAGGCACTGGCTGAGCCGCCTGAAGGTGTGAGGATACTGGCCCAAGAGTTCCCAAGTTCAGAGGCAGCTTCCTTCTGGAGCCAGGCACTGGAGGAGCTGGAACAGTACAGCCGCCCCTACTTACAGGAGGTGCAAAGATATGAGACATACAGGTGAGTGGCGATTCGTGCCTCCATCCTATCCCTGTCCACTTCCGGCTGACAAGACCTCTGTCTTCTTTAAAGCCCCAAATCCTAATTTCTATGGCTTCCATGTCCCACCTGGCTGTGTACCCCCACACCTGAGCCCAGGGACCCTGTAAAAGCTATGAGACCTCGGGAAATGTTTGCACCCCTACTACTAAAGTCCCAGCCTGGGGCCTAGAAGCCTAGGTCCCAAGCCAGCCCTCTGGTCCCAGCTGGCTGCCTTCCTCTCAGTGAGCACCATACTCTGTCTGTGGCAGGTGGATTCTGGGATGTGTGCTGTGCTCTGGCATCCTGATTGTGGTGATCTGTAACCTGCTGGGCCTCAGCCTAGGCATCTGGGGGTTGTCTGCCAGGGAGGACCCCAGCCACTCAGAAACCAAAGGCGAGGCTGGAGCCCGCTTCCTCATGGCGTAAGAAGGGGCCGGGAAAGGGAAGGGACCCTCACTGCTGGGCTGCCAGATTCATCCTGGTACAGCAACACAAGTGGAGTCTGTCAAGTCAGGAGAATGAGCCTTGGTGCTGTCCTGGTCCCCACTGCTTGGGTGACTCTGAGTAAAGTAGTGAGCTCTCTGGGCCTCCGTGTTGCCCACTATCTAAGGTGGTTGGGCTGATGCAGGGACAGCAACACCAGCAGCGACAATAGCATACCCACCAAGCCCAGACAGCTCCAGAATCCTTAGCCGTGCTTCTAGGCGGTCCCAAAGCCATCATCAGGAGGCAGCAACAAAGGCAGCATCTGCTTGTCATCCTTAAACTAGATGGCCTTTAAGGCCAAGGCTGCCACATACAGTTGGCCAGGCTGTGCATTACACAAGGTTCCTGATCAAAGGGATTAGTAAGGAACTGAAATCCACCCCACACTTCGCTCTCCAAGCCTCATGGCCTGGCACGGGGCTGTGCCCACTCACAAAGAAGCTCTGTAAGTCAGTGGCCCTGGTGGAAGGGCCCATACTGCTCAGCCTCTTTGAAATGTTATCTGTGTAGATTGAGTCACGTCTCACTATGCCAATGACTGCTTAGAAAGGTTGAGCCCTGGAGCAGGTCACTTCCATAGACCGTAAGTCCAGATATGGCTCTTTGAACAAGCAGGTGTCCTTCCTCTAGTCTTCCAGGGCAGCAGGACCTGGGAATTGGATGGGGTGGGGTGAGTGTGCCAAGGAGTTGCCAGGAGTGCTGGATTACCCCTTGCCCAGGAGGTCTGCCTTGTGGCCAACCCATGGCCTATGCTGGTCCCAGTGTGGGTGGGGGCAAGCCTGGTCCAGGGCAGTCAGCCACACCGTGTCTCTCACTTCCAGAGGTGTGGCCTTCAGCTTCCTCTTTGCAGCCCCCCTCATCCTCCTCGTCTTCACCACTTTCCTGGTGGGTGGCAATGTGCAGACATTGGTGTGCCGGAGCTGGGAGAGTGGAGAGCTGTATGAGGTGAGCCTGGGCCTGCTCCAGCTTGGGGGGAGCTGAAGGGAGCCAAGAAATTGAGTCAGGAGGAAGTGGGAGCCAGAGGTGCAAGCAGGAGGGGGGGGGAAAGAGGGTGGGATACAAGGGAGAGAGGGAGCAGATAGAGAGACACCCATGAGCCCCCAGCCCCTAGGTGCTCCCCAGGTCCTAACAAGGACTCCAGGTATTGGCACACACACACCCTCTCCTAACTCTGTGTCTGGGAAAGGTACTGTGCTGAAGGTCCTGCTTGCACCACTGCCAGAGAGTCATGGGCAAAGTCCCCATGAAGTTCAAGGGCCTGGGGTCATTTGAATTAGAGAGTAACAGGGATGGCACCAAGCATTAGGCCAGCTTCGCCCCTCATTTCTCCATGCTCCGTTTCTTCCTGCCTACCCGCAGTTTGCAGACACCCCGGGGAACTTACCCCCATCCATGAACCTGTCCTACCTTCTTGGCCTGAGAATGAACATTAGTGTCCTCCAGGCCTATCGGTGAGCCTGGGAGAGGGGCTGGTGTGGGGAAATGGAAGGGAGGTGCAAAAGTGGGCATCCCCTGGGGTGATGCCAGCCCCATCTGCCACCCCTGGTGGCTCTTTGTTGATATGTATCTTTCTTCCCCAGACAGTGTAAGGCAGGGGCAGCACTCTGGAAGGTTCTACAGCTCAATGACTCCTATGACCTAGATACGCATCTGGATATCAAACAGGTAAGAGAATGCTCTAGAAAGCTGTGTGTGCATAGCCCTTTCTTCTGTTCTTCTGGGGTATTATCTCTAAACTCAAAAAATATCTCTTATCAAGGTTCCTCAAAGCAGAGGTCTTAGTAACCAGCTCAGGGCCTGTCTTGGGTTTGAGCTATGGAAGATTCCAGAGCCATGAGTGGGTGTGTAAGTAGCTGGCTGCCATGAGCATATCTGAACATTGCTCCAGGGAAAGCTTCACACAGCCCAAGTTACAGGAGGAGAGGACAGGGTCAGTAAGAGTGTGTTTCCTGATGAGGACAGGTACTTGGTGGCATGCCCTAGCTGTAAGTGGAATGGAAGTGCTCCTGAGCCAGTTGAGTGACACTGGTGGAAAGCTCTCTGGGGCATGCTGTTGGCCAGCAGATTTTATCCCCGCCCCCAGCCTGACCCCAGAGTTTCAGGCTGTCTGTCCTCCCGGGACTCAGGTGGCCCATTTGCCAGAGGTGGTGCAGGGAGTTAGAACAGTCTTGGGTGCAAAGATGAAAAGCATAGTGGGAGTGGTGGGAAACATAGGCACTTGTCAACACTGACAACAGAAAGCTCCAGAAGCAGGAAAGGGTGAGCATTTTAGAATGTGTTTCTAAAGATCTGTGAAACATGCCCCCCTTTTCCTGTCTCCATCCCTAGGAAAGGTATGGGAGAGGGCCCTGAGGAGCCATTTCTCTAAGAATATATTAGGAAACATTCCTCCCCTGCCTCCCCCGCCACACACCCCAGCTAGCCACCTCCTTGCTGCCTACACAAAACTAGCTCATTGGGGCTGGAGAGATGGCTCAGCGGTTAAGCGCACTGACTGCTCTTCCAGAGGTCCTGAGTTCAAATTCCCAGCAACCACATGGTGGCTCACAACCATCCATTATGAGATCTGGGGCCCTCTTCTGGTGTGCAGATATACATGGAAGCAGAATGTTGTATACTTAATAAATAAATAAAATCTTAAAAAAAAATAAACTAGCTCATTATGATGCTCCCAAGAAATCTCTTGGATTTGTCTCCATCCCAAGACATGGGGTGGCACAATCAAACAAGATCAGTCCTGACTCCATGTCTTAAGCCATGGCCAGGGATGTTTGCTTAGTGTGGTACCTTTTTCCTCCAGTGTCTTTAACCAGGGACAGGGCCCCCATGGCTGGAAGCTCTGCAGCCTGGGCACAGGGGATCTCCAGCCCTGGTGTCTGGAAGTTATCTCAACCTTAGGTGATCTCAACCCCAGAAAGGAGGTGCCATTCTTACAGAAAATTATGGACCAATGAGGCTTCTGGTTCTGGGAGTCCAGGCAGTTCTTTGAGGTTGCATGAGGTGATATTGGAAGAACTTCTCAGAGGAGACACCAAAAAGCCAATTATGCATAAATTGGAAAGCATATGCATAAATGTGCCAGCCAGACTGTCTGCTACTTCATGTCCCAACCTTGTCAGTGATGCCTGGGATGCTGCTACTAAGAGAGTTGGGGACCCCTCTCCCTGGAGGAAATTGCCTAGTAGGATGGGGAGAGGTGACCAGAGATGGACTGCCTTCTCTGATGTTGAAGCTGGATGTCATATCCACAAGACAGGCAAATGCTGGATGTCTTTCCTGGAAATGTGGATGTGGCATTCACTCTCCATCCATCCCTCCATCCCTCCATCCATCCCTCCATCCATCCCTCCATCCATCCATCCATCCCTCCATCCCTCCATCCATCC